AATTTCCAGTATCAACTGGGGATGTAAAGAAGGTCCACTACAAGGCTCAAAGCGAAACATTCACCTGTCAACCTTATAAACAGTATGATTATTTATTGGTTGGCTTTTTCTCGATCCTAAAATGCTGTACAACTAATGCGATCCAAAACTCTTATTCTAGAGCAATGAGAAGTTGGGAGCTAACGAGGTCCTTCGTAATCTACATAATGTTGTCGCGTCTTCCACTCAACTTCGTAGAACGTATGGTAGGATGTATTGTAATTCCGCAGGAAGGATCCCATATCAGCAGCTTGGCAGTTCAAAAGTGAGAAGAGAATATCGCGAAGATGTCGACTTAGCATCAACTCTGCCACCGCAGTCAGTCAACGAGCCTATTCCGATATCTTTCACTCTTTCCCTGATGCACGTTTTTCTACAACTTTCTTCGTTAGGCTCCTTCGGATACCTTGGGGAAAACGTGGGAGCTCTGCCTCTGGGAGCTACCAAATTGTAAAAATTTTTTCATCGTTGAAGAGTTCAGATGTGCACCACTCGCACTCTTCTCCAAAATAATCCTGCATTTGTCCGTTCTGCTATTCTTTGGGCTTCTGAAAGAGCGTGTTTTTCTTGGAAACTGTAGAGTGCATCCAAAGTATATCATGCACTACTTTTCTCACTGTTCGACTAGAAACTTCCAAATTACTAGCCGTCTCCGTCAAGCTTCTCGTTAGGCTGGATTCGATTCTTAATTACTGTCAGGAATTGATGGCTGCTAAAGCTGTAAGACCTCCTTGAAGTAGACATGAAGTGCACCTCGCTTAAAGGTCTTATGAACAGTCTGATGCAACTTGAGAATATGGCAAATTTCGGCAGGAGTATGATCGTCGGAGCAAAAGACAACGATTGTAGCTCTACGNCGTCTTGCCACTCTTTCCTCTTTTTTTTCGGCCGTTTGTTTTCCTTTTTCTTGCTGTTTTTAGCGTTTTAGGCTTTACGATTGTCTTAGTGTAGGCCTTACCTACCACTATCTCTGAAATACCGGATACCCCCAAAATTGTCCTGACCTGTGCCTTTAAAGGTCTTATGAACAGTCTGATGCAACTTGAGAATATGGCAAATTTCGGCAGGAGTATGATCGTCGGAGCAAAAGACAACGATTGTAGCTCTACGTGCCAAAAGGTGAAGCCATTTACCAATCGAGAAGTATCAAAGCAGGAAACTGAGCAGTTATATACAGAAAATACTGGCGAATTTCGTCGAATGGCCAGGAATCTCGCTCATCGTTTGGATTTTGCATTTTTTTTACAATTATTTTATCACGTCCCCTACCATGTGCTCTTTTTGACTCGCTGTAAAATGCCCGTCATCGTTCATCGTCAACCATCTTCATGTAAAAGAATGACAAAAGAGGTGGTCTTGGAACCTCGGAGTTTGAGAACGTGAAATCCAGACCTCAAGCAGCTAGGGGATCAACCCGGATATGTAATATAGGCATAGGCAGGGAGACAAATCAAAGGTCAAGTGCTTAGAGGGTACTCCGCACGGGGCAATGCATCTTTAAGTGTATTTCGGCGAGGGGGACGGTCAAGTCGTGCATCCGAGGGTGCGCGCGGCAAATTGCGCGGCGAAATCCATACCTATTCTGACGACTTTAGCGCCTATTTTTTGGGCCCAATTTTGAAGTAAAGTAGAATAGTAGGATCAGCTGACCTTACTAATCTACCCTANTTCAGATTTGGGCCCCAATGATAGGCGCCGGAGTAGTCCAAATTCGCCACGAACTTCGCCGCGCAATTTGCCGCGCGCGCCCTCGGACGCACGACTTGACACACATCCATTTCGGCGACCGTAACACTTCGGAACACCCACCATGGATGGTGGATGTTTCGAAATGTTACTGTAGGATGGATGGAAGAGGACCTAGTAGATCAGCGTGATAGAACACTAGAGTGTAGCGCAAGACACTGCAACCCCTGTCTTCTCGGCTACCCAAGGATGCAAGAGGAGCCAGCGTAGAGAGGCCGTAGCTGTAGCTTGTCCTTTGAAAGCTCCGTGTTTTTCTAATCAGACAACGCTCATGAACAAACCGTAAGTAGGGTGCTGCGAATAAGAGTGGTTATCATGACAACGTTGAGAAGAAAAGCGGTGGATGCAACTGTGGAGCGAGTAATCCAATAGCTTCTTTCAGAAGTTATTATCTCTTCTGTTTCATCATCTGCCATACTCTGAAAATAGTTCAAAATCCAAGTAAGGTAATTCAGAAATTCCTGGCTTACCTCAGGAGTTGTTACAGCTGTGAAAGGGATCTCTGGTTGCCTGGAAAACTGAAATTCTAACAAAAGCAACACAGACAAACAACTCGTTTCGATAGGAGAGTATTAGACAGGAATGCTGTTCGTGTTCTGAAAGAATAAGCATGGGAATAGGCGGCGCCTATGGCAAACCTTACTAATGCAGTTTGAGTAAAGGCCAGACACCGAAAATGAAGATGAAGGTGAAAATTGGGTCACTAAATCAAGGAAACCCACTCGCTGTAATCCTCAGGATGGGTGACGCTTTCTGTATGACTTGAAAACCAGTAGTTTTCAAGACATGCTAGACATTCGTAAGCTCAGCTATACACCGGCTACGGTGGACGGCGCAAGAAAAGTGCCTTATGCGAAAGTTTATGACTATGTTTAAACTGTCCAAGGTCCAGAGTAAGTAACATGGAAGAGCTACTGAAGATAGATTCCTTGGGTGGGCGGGGTTAAGACCGAATCACAACCCCTGTCCAGAAACCTGGAACCCGAAAAAAAATGTTGGAAGCGATCCAAGGGCAGGATGGGAAATCGGACAGAACATAGGGACAGTTACCGCTTACAAAAGTAGAGCAGGCACGAAATGAGTATTTGACAGGAAGCTCATAACTTCTGTTCCAGTGTTAGATTGCATTAGTGACCCGTCTAGATGATGCAGTTATTAAGGAAGGGGATTTTTTTTNTTTTTTTTGAAAACCTTTAAACTTTCACAACTCCATGACAGCATACTTTGTTGCATTCGATTGCGTGAAGTTTACGACTGGTATTGATAAGTGTGCATTACATCGTAAAGATAAAGAGATTTGGGTGGCACACCCACAAAGGATAGTTATATTGATTACTCGACGAACTTTGTTTTCTAACATTTTCTATGTATAGTTCTAGATGTCTGATTGTTCAGATTTGTCATTCTCAGAATGCAAAAAAACAACCTTCCGAGGACTTCCATTCTGCTTTCGCTTTTTCTTCTCATATAAAACAATTCGTTTAGCCTATTCTTATTGTTGCCATACATAAGTACGTTACAGCTGCAAATCTGCACTTAGAAAGGTAGTGAGGTAGTGTCAATGGCACTATTGCATGTATCGTAATGCAATAACGTCTCGGACCACATTCTTTCAATAAAATCAAGACTTCCGCTTCTTCGAAGTCGGACATTGGTGCCAGACTATTCTGAGAGTATAGAAGTATCGAACTGTATATTGGATGGCCATCGCAAATCACACTACAAGCCATATACACATTCAAACTCCACTATAATTCTGAACAGAAGTAGAATACACTGGCGCATTCCAGAATTGGATTGATCAACACAGTGGATCCACTCTTATCAATGTTTTCTGATTCTGTCATTCTTTCAGTATGTACTCCGTTACTGTTATTCTTGCTCTAACGGCTGTTGCTACGGCGGACCTCATTCCAACGTATTCCATATCACAGGACGCTATCGAATACGTTTCGTTCCGCTCCAAACCCCTTGTGGTAATTTCAATCCTTACGGCTTTTTTACCTTATATCACATTGATACATGCTGTACAGGGTAGAAAACTATCCATTTGGAAAACTGTACAAGACGCTTTTACCCTAAACTTGCAACTGGATGCTTCGGAGGTTACAAACCCTTGATTTCTCAGATGGCGAACTACAAATAGCAATAGCAATTACAAGACGGAATTCGGAATTCCCTTCTTTCCGAATCTGCCAATGCTTTTTCGACGTAGCCTTACATGACTGTGTTGAATCACAACATCTAGGCCAATGTAAGTGGGTACATATCGAAATCCACCAAGCCTTCTAGTCATTACGTAAACATTTAGAATGCTGCTGAGGAAGGGAAATTGGAAAAGTGGGTTGTTCGCAGCTGGAATACACAGGGTACGGGAATGGAATTCGGAACGAGGCCTTCATTACCTAATCGAACGCTTCTTTGAATTAATATCAGAACCTAGTGGGAAGATAAGAAATATCAGGTCACACTTCAGCTGGCCAACTCATGTCATGGTACACAGAACCAATGAAAACGCCGCCATCTCTTTGAACCGAAGGTGGATGCGCCGACGTATCTAAATTTTCTATAACGTATTTCAAGGAATCTGATGAAAAGACGATTTGAAGGCAAAAAAAACTTTATTTCAGACAGCTGTATCGAGATGTCAGTCTATACCATGGAACGGATGCCAGGTACATTTTCTCTCAGCTGTTAACTTCCATTACCATCATTCGAGTGAATGGGGCACCGCAAAAATGTGCAGCTGGCGTGTGTGTACTCCTGGGATCGTTCATCTCGTAAATTATATTCTCTGAAGTATATGTGTATTAAGATGATCATATGTATTGGCTGGATGTGAAAACTGAGTGCAGGTACCACATAGGGGAATAAAAGGGTCAAAGCTTGTTCAAGAGCAGCCTTACGTGAAAGCCCTCATCCATGCGGCCTATCTTCATATGAATTTTGGAAATGCATTAATTCACTGAATTGTGGCTCAAATTTTCTACTTCTTAGCATTGTTGCAATTCAGAAGAATCTACCCACATTCGTTACGCTGAGATTCGATCATAGAAATTATGCTAATACACTGAAACCACTCCACTCGCTACTCCCCAGCAGTCCCAACCACAAACACTGTTTAGGCTCAATTCAATCAAATACTTGGACTAGATACCAGTCTTTATTGGAGAAATGGTACCCTTATCAATCAACAAGTAAACAGATTGCTGCAGATGAACACTACTGAACTGGTCAAGGTGTGCAAGTAGGTGTTTACAGACATCTCAGTATAATTACAACATTTTAACTGATAATAATAGTCTATGGCCCATTTTCTGTAAATGCCCGTTAAGATTCTACAGTATTTAAACACTAAATACTTTTTTGTAAATATTATGGATTCAAAATAACAAACAACTTCTCACGGCATGGAGCGATTCGACTTTATTTCAGTGCCCGAACACAGTTTTATCAGTGCCTGGGAACCTCCTACTATGCTTGCATGAATCTGTTCAATATTCTGGATACTAGCGACCCTGACTTCACAAATGGTGAGTTGACATTTCACTACTAGGACCTCTTCGAGCTCCTGATCCACCAAATCCAAATCAGTGCCTAGGTTCAACATATTGGCCAAGTTTTTCCCATTCAATTCCGCAGTCCCTTGCGAAAGTACATACTCCAACGGAATAATTTGAATGCATGGCCTGTATGTGTGTATGTGGACATATGACATAATGAATATGAATTTCAATGAATCCGCCATGTACATGGCTTCTTGGCGAGACTTATGACTGTAGGAGGACTGTGAAAGTTCACAGTCTTGAGACGGTGTGCGCGATGTTGTGCTTGACGGATGAAGGACATACTCGACAAGAAGACCCAAAAGTATCCTAGGAAACATCTCTCAATGGAAAAGGCTACATGTGTTTTGGTCAATCTTTTTCGTATTTTTCATGAAGGGCTTTCAGCATTCGACTACACTCGTACCTTCATGGGCTTGGAGTTCATGTGTAATGCTGGATTTGAAGGTGAGCACTTTCTCCGCTCTCGACCTATCATGGTAGCAGGGAAGAGGATGAGCAATTAATGCTTCTAAAAGCTTTAGGCTTTTGCTTGGCCTAGCACCACACATTCTTTATCCTGACGAGGTTTTAGACTGGGGTGATGGGTGCTCCACTTCAGATTAAAGATCACAGACTATCCGAAAACGATTTTCCTCAACTTGTTTTTCGTCCAAGATAACAACCATAACCTTCGCATCACATTCTGAGATAAGAGATTTATTATTTATTTTGTTTATTCACCTCTTATCAGCACGGAATGATCAATCACATCTATTTAATCAGTTGTTTACTTTTTAGTTTTTCTATTTATCTTTTTCTTTTCATTCATTTACTATTACCAAGGAGAAATTAATCCTGGAGATGTCGACCAGCTCTGTTTATGGTATCCCTACGAAGTTTCATTTGGATTCACCCTTATGTCAAATGGTAAGCTAAACAAATAACAATGCAATACCAATTGCAGAAGTTGTTAGCCAATGGCCTTGCCTTTATGGAATACAAACAACTCGTGCATATCAAGATTGCATGAACAAATTCACTTACAATGTGGCTCCTTCCAACTTCTGCAGGTAATTCCTGAGGACAATTCATGAAAAAGAAATCCATCTTTGAAGTTTAGCAGAGTAATTGATCCAGAAACGAGCTTGATTCTGAAATCTTTCCTTAAATCACCGTCTATCACTCTTTGTTGTTAACACTCTATATCCACAATTATGCTGTGCTATTTCGTCTGGTGAAATTGATCCGTAACTTAATCCTGCAAATTTTAGACGACTTCTTTCCCTAAACAGCTGCTAAATTATCTTGGTATATCACCTTTGTAACAAAAACGCTTTCAGTATGGTTGATGAAACTGGAAAATGTCTCAACGATGCATATCTTAACGCCTGTGCAGACAATGGAGTAAGTTTTCCAATAAAGTCTAATAAATAATCTGTTGTAGACTGTAGGCAAAAAATTACGATCAAGTAAAAAAAGCGAAAGATCGGGAGAATTTGCAGAGAAGCTGGTAAAAGAGGCTCTAGAGAATGCGGGGATTGGTGTCAGGAGACCACAACGGATTCTGCCGTGCCGCCTGAACTTAGAAGTCACTGGAAGTGAACTTCGATTACAAGGACATAAGCAATTCCGTGAGGAGTAACGGCTTAACATTATAAAATGAGGAATTCTAGCCCTCCTGACTTGGAAAGAAACTCTCTATTCTTTTGTTCTCGCAAATTGACTCCTTGTGAATATAGTTCCAAAAAACGGACCTAGACGAGAGAAAGCAGGGCATCTAGCGTTGTTCCGAACGATTGCCCTTGCTCATCTGGTTTCTATCTAAAATTCGGAGCTGATTCCGCAGTAGGAACGATCGCGTCAGAACTACTTATGAATGGTGACCTAATGCAAGGCTGTCGACTTACGCTGCAAGAGATTCGTTTTGGGATGGAGAAGAAGACTCGCGAACGGTATCGCAAGCCCTGAAACGATGCGTTTTGTAGTTTACATGTTTAATAGGAGGTCCTCCGAATGTGAGCTGAGTCATTAAGCCTCGCCTTTAGTCGAACAATCTGCATAGAATGGCATTTTAAAAAATGGTAATAGAAAAGATTCCCATATCATAGAGGAGCCGGTCTTGATCTAATAACCGAAAAAGCAGAAGCTCATAACATGGATTAAATCATGAGGTTTTTTTCTGGCCAGTAAAGGAAGTACTAAAGTTGGTCTTGGTCTAGTACAAACCTAGGAGGAGGGCCGATTAGGACAAACCGTGATAAACCGGATGGGACAAACCACAGCGGACCGGTCTAGGAAGTCTACTGTGTTTGGTGTAATTCGGCTTATCTCGATTGAGGATATAGAGGTATAGCAAGCAAAACGAAGAATGAACGAATGAATACTATAATAATACCGGGTTTTTCACACTCTGGAGGCTCATCCAGTTAATTCACTGCAATAAAGTAAGCAATGTCTAAAGAATTGAGACAAGTTACAAATAGGGTATAATGACATGATAAAAAATTCTCTGAGTAATTAAGGTATATGGGTATATTTTTATTTATATTCTCAATGTAATATACCCAAATGTGAATAAGACTCTCAGGGCTACTATGTAATATTTATCATTTAGGCTGGCTGGTATGGCTGTGAGAACTTCCGTTTCACTTTCGATCAGACTTGCTGGGGACTGCGTTGCAACGTTGCCCAGAACTGACTGTTGGAGACTTGATCTTAGAAAAACAATAAATTACTCTTTTCTTTTGCCCTCTATTTTTTCAACTCTCAATCAAAAGTATCCATGCGTCCCTCTGTTTTTTGGCAATATTCCTCCGCTATTTGTTGACAGAAACTTGACTGAAGTGGCCCTTTCGATTTTGGGCATAACCAGAAGACGTGAAAGAATGGAGCAAAGTATAATCGATACTCCTTCCACTTTAAGACGGTTAATTAAAAAGGAATAGATAGAAGTCCGTCTCGCGATTCTTATTGGCGCCTGGAAATCGATGATTAATGGGACGGCATTCGATACTGGTCTATTTTTGCTGTGATTCCCATGACTTTCGGTGCATTGTCATGGAGAAAAATAATAGCTGTGAGTGAATAAATGATTTTTTCATATATATATCATTAATATTGTCTTGCTCATCAATGGGGTCGAGTACTTGCAAAATGTACTTAGCTTGCAAGCTAGACTTGGCATTGTACTTTCAGGACATTCCAAAGTTCTACTACTTTTATATTGACCCGAGCATTTCCAGGAAGTTGAATGCGGGGGTTTACACCACAAATGAGATTGTTCATATCAAATAACTTTATCCGTTGTCTTTAACGATATCCATAATGTTTACGTAGCCGTTGTAAAAAATACTCGAGACATGGAAAAAACTAACGTTAGAAAAAAGCAGAGCCTTTCTCCCAATAAGCCCTTAATTCAATACCTCTGATTAGAATTGAGCGATTAAGCCGTACAATCGCTTCACTAATACTACCAGAAGGTTGTTAAGTTAACGGCGATAATTCATTGTCAGACAGGACACGAACCCATGCATATGGTTGTCGGACATGGACTGTCACCACGACTCGTGAGTATAATAGTTCAAATGTATAAAATCGTACATAATTACATATTTACGAGTTCCCGTGGTAATTTCGTGGCCTATACAGCATAAATGTACACTAAATGATTGAGGGACGTCTCATGTAACTCATGAACGGTACGACTATTCTTGGTGCTTCCTTCTATGTGTCGCTCAGGTGTTTGATCCAACAAATAAGCTACTAAAGATTCAAAAACATCGTTCAAAAATTGGCAGTGGCTCTTTCTCTCATTAAAGATTTGCTACACCAACTTCCAATTCAAGCTTTTCCATGGAAAGCTATAATGGATCAGCATGAACCTTCGACAGGAAAGTTTGAAACCACTTAAAGTATTCATTGAGGCGGAGGTGGGACAGTGGCAAGTGGCGCACTATCACACACGCCTGGTCGATCCGCTACGCCGACCAAGCCTTCCATCCCTCCGGGGTCGGATGATCGGTACCAGACTCGTTTAGGAGGATAAAACCACTGACTTGCGCACCGGCTGGCCACCGCAAGTCATTGTATAGGCCACATACGGTCCTGAACGGAAGTGGAATGCTAGGGGCTTCGGACGCGACTGATCAACGCTTGAAGAGTTCATCCTTTATAGAGTTTTTATGCGCTTTTATTTCAAAAAGTAGGTGAGGGACGCTCACCATCCGAATTTTAAGCACGGTTGTGCGCCTGAAGCCCTTTGCTTTGTTGCAAGAGAGTTTTCGGGTTTGACGATGGAACCCTAAGTAGATTACAAAGAGACTAACTCTGTCAAAACATTGTATCGCTAAATAACTTTTCACCCACATTAATGGGAGGAACATCAGTAAAGTGGAAAAGCCTCCCAGACTCGTTTTCTGGGATGCCAGCATGCATTCGACTTCTATTTAGAAAATTTTCAGTGTCTGAATTGGTATTTACGCTGAGAACTAGTGGTGAGCACAAAACTGCACATCAACTTGATGTGCAGTTTTGTGCTCGCCATTAGTTTGACAACATAGTGATGGATGAATAAGTATTGTTTGACTTTCTCCTGAACCATACCATCCGGTTTTACAATTAATTGCGATATCCAGGCGATGTACAAGTCGAGGTTTATACCTTTTCTGGGTCCAACTGATTGATCCAGAGGGCATGGAAAGCCTGGTCGGCCGCGAGTATCGGGCCAGGATTCGATCTGCGGACTATGTATAGACATAATAGTGTGTCACTTACCAGCCCTCCTCAGTAACTCTCAAATATTATATTTAGCCAGATTCGTTATTCTCGGGATTCAGAAAAGCAATCCCTTTAGGACTTTCCATCTACTTTTTCTTCAATATGCAATTCACTTTGTCTGTTCTTGTTACTGCAACACATAAGTACGTTACAGTTGCAAGTCTGCAACTCGATAGGCTCGATTCTCGGTAACTAAGCAATTATGAACAAGGAAGGTGTTCATATGAAAAAGTGACTGTCAAGCTCAATGCAGTTTGATAAACCTTCTTTTCCAGGCTCTGCGTCTTGAAACACGAAATCTCTCCACTGTCCGTGCAACGGCATCTGAATCCTGCTTGCTCATGCTCCGGTATTCATGTAGGAGAGAGCCATATGTGAAACTCTCTTTGATTACCTTTTGACAACATTATATCAGAGCAGATGACTCGATATGACGAAACTAGTTAGTTCCACGCACGCTTACGGATGTATCATATGGCCACAACCACTTATCTACGATCTAACTCAAGAAGATCGTCATATATTTCCCATGCTTCGTATACATCATAATCCTGTGCTCAAGATTTCGCTTGGATTTCATTTCTGAAAATTAAATTGAAAATTACGCATAAAGGGTAAAGTAATTAAGAGTAAAGGATTATTTCAAGCGCACAATTATCATGAACGTTTACATTCTGAATTTCGTTCGAAATTGACTGTAGGAAATTGCATCAGAGGTGCAATGAGAAACAGCCAGCAGCTCGATTGATGATGCCTGATGCTTAGGTAAATGTTCTCTCACCCTATCTTTCGTCCATTTTGAACATTCGATCGCCCTGTAATTGAAAAGAACCAAATAATGTCCACCCTACGACAAAACATAGTGGGGGNATGATTCCCAACAAATGACGTTACAAATTGGTTCAGGATCAATGTACCGGTAAAATTATTTATTTATTCAATACGTCACATGAGACAATGCAAGAAAAAGACTAGAATAAGAAGCAACTACGTAGAAGAATAAACAACAGTTCCTAAACAAAAACAGCAAGAACAACACACTACTCACCTATGCTCGTTGTATTAGTTCCAGTAAATGAATAAATAAAATCAGAAATTTTCCTATGTCATAACACCAGTCTCACCGCACCTACGTGACATTTCACATCCCTTGCCGTGTCTACGTGACTTTTTGCGGACTGACACACAAAGCGACATACAAACACACGAACAAAGTTTGCGCTTCATATGTATCCATATATATTCATATATGTGCTGGATATAAATACATATTGATAAGATAAAACTTACTGGTAAAACTTGGTGTCTGCATAGATTGAACAGCTGTTGATTAGCAGAAGGGTAACGAAATAATAGATGACAGATCTCGTATGCGGAGTTATGAAATTTTGGCTATCCATTATACAGTAGCGCTCAAAAGTATGCGGGATCGCATTGCAGAGCATTTACTGCTGTCCGTGGTGATCACATACCCTATTAGGAACCGCGTCGCTTTTTTTGAAGTACTAGGATAAATTGTGAGGAACTATGTGTAATCGGTATATTTCAATAAAAATGTCTTACCTGCTCGTCCTATTTCGATTTTCTGCCAGTTGCTTCCTGTGCAATGCCGTAATGATCTTCTATTCGCACGGTATAAATTTCATCCAGCTCTGTCGTTGGCAGAGGTACAGTAATCGAAAGTTGCTCTCGTCCCTAAGTTTTGCATACCGGTGTATTTCCCCGTAGCTATATGAATGCGCTCTTGGCATCTATCGACGGAATGCTTTGATTCAGGCTAACTGTACAGAATTGCTCTAACAGAACTTTTTCAACTGGTATTTCAGTCTACAAATCGCATTCACTCTACACGTATGCTAAACTATACATATTTGTGACCACATAACTATGCTAGTGGTAAAATACGGATTCCTAGCTCCTGAAATCCAGCCGCGTGTAGTGTCAGAAGAAAATAAGGTCAGTGTTTCAGTTTCCTTACTTTTCCGCTGCTTTATTGACAACTTTTCCAGATTTTATTACAACTTCAGACAGCAAAGTTGTGGGAATAGCAAAGGATTGATTTTTCGAGAGGAAGGCTCTTATTCATAATGGCACTTGCACACAACCAGTCAGATGCTTAATCCGTCGATGAATCGAGTTTGGCAGACGTCCCTGAATTGCATTCGCATTGTACTAGTTATCAGTAACGCGCGCAGAAAATCTATTATGCTCTCACGTATTCTTATGCTGGCACTGCAATGAAAAAGTTGTCATCTCTGTAATTCATAAGAGTTATTCAGAATATTACCTTGAGTAGGTAAAGCGAAAAACGAAATACAGGCCCATGCGATCGATTTCGGAGTGAAAATGCAATGACATAAAGGGATCACATCGGAATAACTATTTCAGACTCGTTACCACGATAGCGAAAACTGAAATATTAGGAAATTTCCAGATCGGAACTTCATAGAGATCATAGAGGCTTTCCCTTAGGGAAAGCATACAGAAGCGACTGGGTGAGTAGAGAAAGGAAATCAGCAACTGGGAATTAATCTTAATTTCATATATATTAGGCTCAATTGTGTTTCTCGTGTCAAGCGCGATTTGTTCATAACATTAATTGATTGATCGTTACCTAAGCACTTACTCCGTTGCTGGACTGAAGGGTTGGTTGGTTGAACATGGAGGAATTGCTCAAAACAGTTCGTCCGAAACAATTTTCGCAATTCCTTTGAGCATATAAAGACAATAATAGGAAATCCAATTGGTGGTAAGTTTATGAAAATGTAAAAAACCAGTTGAAAAAAGCTGTAGAAACCACCATACAAATGGAAACCAAAATGCGAGATTAAGAGCATCATTTCGGGAATCTGAAAAAAAATTGGTAAATAAATGATAGATCATAGACAAAATGCGTTCAATCGAACCCAGCTTCTTCGAATC